AAAGAACCTTGAATCTCAAGTGATCAGAGAGAAAGAACAATGTATCCAGCCTCCAGCCTCTAAGTGGCAGTGTAACTGCTTTTCCTCCTGTTATTACAACCCTCTTTATAATCCTTCTTATTATCTTCTTTATATTCCAAGCTTAAGAAAGAAAAAAACCCTTAAATGGAGATCAAAAATAATCCAATCAATCCAATCAAACATTATAAAAAAGAAGGAAAAATTTAATCCATAGATATAAGCAAAAGTGAAAAAAGAAGAAAACATTAATCCATTCAGTTTAAAAAATAGGGAGCCTTTGCAAAAATTCCATCCATGAAAAAAAAAATTTAGAAACACACTAAGTTTAATGTAGATTAATTTCGCCACTTACAGCCCTCTATCTTCAATTTTAATTTAACTTATTTTTTTTGGGGGGGGGGTAGTCTCTTTTTCTAGTAATAAACTTTCCTCACCAATTCGAAATACTTTCTCTTTTTGCTTTTTTCCCGTTCCGAAGCTGTCCCAACTTCAGCAGCTTCATTAGCTGTGTTTTTTCACCGGAAAAAAAGACCATTCCTGGATCTTTCAGGGACTTTGCGGTATCCCTGAGATCAGCAGGAGATGCCCTTCTCAATCACCATCTCTCCAGAACAGTTTAGGTCCAAATGGACCGTCCAGCGGCAGAAATATTGACTGCGATCTCGGAGCACCAAGATCACACGTCATACTGTCAGCTCCTTTTTTTCACATTATGATTTGTTAAGGTAATGAAATAGGTACAGCAGTTAGCCTTAGAATGGACAATTAAGATACTGAAGTAGTGGACAGCCTCTGCCTTTCAGGATCTATTATCAACATTAAAGGAACCAGCTGTCCAGAATTACACTGCAAACTAGCAGTGGGTTGGGTAGCAAAGCCAGCTTTGAAGAGATACCCAGATGTTGCAATTTACAAAGATCAGAATTGTGCAGGCAATAGTTTTCCTGTGATCCTCTATGGAAATGAAACTTAGGCTCTGAAGTAGCAGGATAGAAAGTTTAGATGCTTTTGAACTTTGGTCTTGAAATAGAGTCATGAGAATACTAATACCAAAACAGACAAAGAAAGAAAAGTTCAAATAGACCCAGACTTCTCATTTGAGGTTCAAACGACTAACTCAAATTATCATGGGAAAAACCTAATTCTATTAAGTAAATCTACAATGCTGAGAAATGTGTAAGGAAAGACGAGAGGAGAACAACCGTCGTGCCACATCCATAATGCTATGTGCGCAACCCTCCCCAGAGTGCATACATGCATGTAATTAGCAACCCCCCCCATTTTTGCTACGTTTTTTTCACCTTCCCCAGGCTCCAGAGGCTTTCTAGGAGCCTGGGGAGGACGAAAACAGCCTCCGGATGCCCTCCGGAGCCTCAGGACCTTCCCTGAAGCCTCTGGAGGGCAAAAAACAGACCTATGGGAACGCGGAAGTTTGGGGATGGTGACTTCCTGTTCGTCTGTAGGGCTGCTTTTAATCTTCGGAGCCTTCAGGAGACTTCTCTGAAGGCTCCAGAGGGCGAAAAATGGACCCACAGAGAAACTGGAAGTGACTTCCAGTTTGCTCGTCGGGCCGGTTTTTGTCCTCTGGAGACTTCAAGGAAGCCTCCGAAGGCCCCTGATGGCTCCGGAGGTTGAAAATAATGGCCATATGGACAAACTGGAAGTTGCCATTCCCAAACTTCTGGGTTCCCCGTAGGGCTGATTTTTGACCTCCGGAGCCTTCAAGGACCTTCAGGAGGCTTCTCTGAAGGCCACGGAGGACAAAAAACGGCCCTACGAGCAAACCAGAAGTGACTTCCGGTTTGTCCGTAGGGCCGATTTTCCACCTCCGGAGCCTTCAGGGAAGCCTCCGGAGGGCGAAAAACAGTCCTATGAGTAAACCGGAACTCTGTTCCCGAACTTCTGGTTTGTCCATAGGGCTGTTTTTTTGTTTTGGAGGCTTCAGGGAAGCCTCTGGAGGGCGAAAAACAGCCTCAAAAGAAGGCCGAAGTCTTGTATGCCCTGACAAATGGCTCCACATGCCACCAGTGGCATGCATGCCATAGGTTCGCCATCATGGGTATATACTGTTAAGAGTCAACACTGACTTGTTGGAACATACTCAATTAAAAAATAGTCCAATTCTAGAGGTTTTTATTGCAAATTAAATTCAGTGTCTTATTTAAAAAAATATTTATTCAATGTTAAAAAAAATAATTTCAGTAGTTTTAATATTGAATTAAACACATTTCATAGTTATAATAATGAAAAATATGCCAATAATACACTTATTTTAATCAGTAAAGGAAAGTAAATAAAGAAAAAAAATGTAATGTAGAATTATTTCAAAAGCGATTGATTTATTGTGAAAAAGATTCCTTACCTGGATGAGCCAAGAGAGTGTCAAGTTCTTCCTTGGCCACAACCATTCTTAGTATGTCACTGCTATCAATGACAAAAATAATGGCCTGACAATCTCTGCATAATACAAAAACAAAAGACACGAATTACATGTGTGAAAAATCTGAATAGTAAAGTGGTAAGAAGCCGTGAGACAAAAAAGTGTTATAGGCTATGCTTCAGAATTACATAGAAAAGAAGCATACTGGTATGTGCTCTTCAACTGCCCTTATTTGGGTTCTTCTGCTAATAAGAACAGCTAAATAAAACAAGACTCCTCTGCAAATTGTTTAGGATCATCAGCAACCCTGGTTTATTACCGTATTTTCTTTAAAGACCAGAACCAAAGGCCATGATTTATTCTTACTTTTTGATTCTGGCTTATTAGGAAAGAACAAATCAGAATTCCTACTTTTCATGTAATTCTCAAAAAGGATAGTTTAGTTGTTCCTTCTAGCAGTAAAAGCCAGGTGGGAATGATGGGCAGCGTGCATTAGCAAGCATTTTGTTCCAAGGAATACAGTAATCCAAATACAGTCAAGGATTTGGAAGGAAAAAAAAATCCTATTTACATTGAAATCCAGGTTTTTGTAAACAACAATGATAATAATCAATCTATATTAATACAAGTGGATTTTTAAAAGAATGTTTAACTAAATGACTCTATTTGGCAAATTTGTTCCATGATGTTGATGTTTAATAAATTTATAGGCCGCCCAATCCCGAAGGACTCCAGGCGGCTAAATATGATATCTCTTTGTCATCCATTCATGCATCAGGCTGCATTAAATAATTCATGTAACAGTTGTAAAAAGTGGGAAATGTAGTAAGTCTGAGAAAGCTTAGTTGAAAATGCTCTAGTGCAATAGACATTAAAAAAACTCAAAAACTAGCTTGAATGCAAAATTGCAATATATACTGTAATACAGCAGTTGTAGAACAGCATTTTTACATTCCCACTCCACAGCAGCCCTCTCTTCCCCCAAAGCAGTAGGAGACAGTCATGTTCATGGGATGTACTACAAAAATGTAAGAGGAGCTATTTGTAAAAATGAGATAGGCATTATCTCACTGAAATTCTGCTTACAGTAATTTAAATCCAAGCTATTAGAGCCTTTAAAAGGTAATATGGCAATTTGCTAAATCAGAATGCTTAACTACTAAAAAGCAAGTTTAAAAGACAATCCTGTACTTACATAATCTATAGAGCTCAGTGTGGTTTACTCTCAGTAAGTATGCAAGTATAGCCTCAATATACACTATATTGCCAAAAGTATTCGCTCACCTGCCTTTACTCGCATATGAACTTACAGTATTTAACCTGTGATTATGTCTTCCCGACTGAATTGCTGTATTTTTTTGCCTTTTGGATTCATTGTTGAGTCACTGACACTGCATTAGTGCCCATAATGTGGCTAGATATTTCCTTAGTCTACTCCATGTTTCATTCATTTTTATTATCCTACAGATGCATATCAGTTATAACGTGACTTCTCCAAATTAATGACTTTTTTCATTATTCTTTGTGATAATTATAGTTAGTCTGGATTTTATCAGACTGATTTTATTTGTTCTGTATTAAAATGAGTATTGGGTAGAGAATTTGTAACTTCCATTAGACACCAATCAGCAGAGATCTGGAGCATGAGGCATGTCCATATGGGAATGCACGGGACAGGCAGAGGTTGAGGGGAGCAGGTAGTCCTGCAAGTAGCTCGGTTCTATGGTATCTAAAGCTTTAAAGGCAATAACCAGGAAACTTGAATTGTACCTGAACATGTATTGGGAGTTCAGATGCGAGTAAAGTCAGGTGAGTGAATACTTTTGGCAATATAGTGTACTTTCAAAACAAAAATACCAACTTTGTTTGAAGTTGCAAAGTGGTGAGGTTTTAAATTTTCCCTATTTGGATTCTTCCAAAAGAAACAGAAAGAAAGAAAGAAAGAAAGAAAGAAAGAAAGAAAGAAAGAAAGAAAGAAAGAAAGAAAGAAAGAAAGAAATGTGGCAAGGCTTTAAAATTGCTCTATTTGGAAAATAATAAATAAATAAATAAATAGTGTGTAATAGAAGCTTAGATCCTTATGTAGCAGTTTTTAATCTAATTTAAATTAAATTAATTAAGCAGTAAACTCTAATGTTTTCAAGATATAAAATGTTTAAATACTGGAGAAAGGAGACATAATTCAATCCATATAAAGTCATAATCCATAAATCATTTTATATCATTTCATGTAACACTTCAAGAATTTTAATTAATGTTATATAAAAATAATCCCATAGGCACTCAAACATTATTTATATAAGGAGGACCAATATTTTATAACTTAATTTTTCCATTAATTTATTATATATATTCAACAATTAAGCAGCTGTAAATGTATTAAGTATAAGATCGAAGGTGTGCAATCTGTTTCCCACCATAAGTTAATGGGTTGCAATTTCTGTAAATTGCTTTACAAGTAGCCCTTGTCTTACAATAACAATTGGGTTTAGAATGTTGGTTACTATGTGATGTGGTCATAAAGCATGACAGCATCACTTAGTGATGGCAATCCCTTCAGTCCAATTGCCATGGTTAAGTGAATCCCAAAGTCAGTGAAGAAGCCAGGAGAAATTTACAAGTTCTAGGCCAGCAGGCAGGTAAATGGTTGCTGACAGTCTGGAACGAAATAAGTGGATGCATGGGGCTGGATTGGGAGGGTGTGTGGGGGTGCATGAGAGGAAGAAGGACACGGTGTGCGCGAAAAGCATCGCACAGGTTGGGAAGAGTGCACACACTGCACAGGGATGAATGAGGGGTGCCATGTGGGTTGGGGAGGATGCATGAAGGCGTGGCATAAGTCAAGAAAGGTGTGCAAGAGTGCACTAACTTTCTGGGAAAACCAGGAGGGAAGATTGCAAATGGCAATCACATGATTGCAGGGTGTTTGGCAGCCAGTTGTTAGGGTGAATGAGTTACCAAATGCCCAGATCGTGATCATCTATCCATGGGGGCAGTGCAATGCCCATAATTTTGGGGATTAGTCATGAGTTATTTTGTTCAGTTTTGTAATTGAGGAATGAATAGTTATAAATCAAGGACTAGCCAAGACTGCTAGAAAATAGGAATTTAATTTGGTCATTTTAAAGGATGACTTTAAAAGGTAATAAAACTATCTAAAAGTTAATATTTGCTACTATAGCAATAATTTTCACAGGAATAGATAATTAACTTCCTTTCATATATTTCTTAATTATTCCCAGATTTGAGGTTTTTATATAATTATATATATTTATATTATTCTAATTCATCATTCCTTCCCTTTCGTTCATGCTTGAGAATACTGCAGACAAGTCTAAGAGAAACGTAATTATAATTTTACTCTGCAAACTATTTTAACTAAATATTTTCATAAATTTAATAGAGGCATGAATAACTAAGACTTACTGTTAAAAATAGACTTACCCATAATAATGTTCCCAGAGATTTCTGTATCTACCTTGACCTGACATATCAAACACAGTAAATGATAAACTGTAAAGAAACAATAAAACAGAGCATTAGATCTGTGACACATTCTGGATTGCAATCTTGTATAAATTATATAATGCCAATTCAGTGTAAGAACAACTTTTTGACTAGTACTCATGTTTTGACATTTAATTTAATATGCGTGAGTTTTATTGACAAGTGTCAAACTAAATTAAAAACATAGTTTTATACAAAGGAACAATCGATATTAAACAAAGAACTTAATTGGATCTTCACATTGTTGTCTTACTCTGTGCTGTGCACTTCTAAATATAAAGAAAACTACTTCCCATAATTCTTTTTTTATTCCACTCCATATTCCTAAAATTTGCCCTGAAGAACATCTTCCTCTGTAATCTTGTTAAACTGCAGCCCAATATATGGTTACTATATATACTATAATACAGTGATGGCGACCTTTTTTGGCTCGCGTGCCATAAGTGGGGGGAGCGCAGGGGGGGTTGTGTGTGGGCATGCTGCACCCATAATGCAATGTGACCCCCCAGTGCGCATGCATGCACTATAGGCGCTCTCCCCATTTTTGCATGCAGAGGCTCCTATACAGCCTCTGGATGGCGAAAACAGCCTCCCCCGCTGCCCTGGAAGCCCTCCAGAGGCTTCAGGGACCTTCAGGAGTCTTCCCTGAAGCCTCCGGAGCAGTCAAAACGACCCTCCGAGCAAAGTGGAAGTTACTTCCAGTTTGCTCGGAGGATCGTTTTAAGCGCTCTGAAGGCTTCAGGGACCTTCAGGAGGCTTCTCTGAAGCATCCAGAGCAGTCAAAATGACCCTCCGAGCAAACTGGAAGTCCGTTCCTGAATTTCTGGTTTGCCCGTAGGGCTGGTTTTTTGCGCTCTGGAGGTTTCAGGGAAGCTCTGGGGGGGGGGGAAGCGCTTTTCGCCCGCCCCAGGCTTCTATAAAGCCTCTAAAGCCTGGGGAGGGCGAAAAATGGCTTTAAAAAGGGTGAACTCAGCTGGTCAGAGCGTGCATGCCATAGGTTCGCCATCACTGCTATAATATATACTTTAATATAGAGTTTCTTCTAATCTGAATTGTATAGCATCTATTTCCAGATTTCTGAGCTGCCTGAATAGAATTCATCATTTTTTTTAAAAAGACATGTTCCCAGATAATCATTTTATACAACATCATAACTACTGAAACTATCAGTATTAATAGTCAATCATGATATGGTCAGGAAGATGAGCCCAGCTGTAAAGAATTTTTCGGATTTGCTGTTCATGTTTGTAACATAAGAGATAGGTGTGTTTTCCTTGCAAGAAAGTTAGCTTTCATTTATTCAACATCTCCTATTAAACTATAAGAATAGTGCTAAAAATGGAAGAAACAAGGTGGGTCTGCCTAAGAACATTTGATTCTAAACAAAATAACATGATTTTTCTCCAACTAGTTTCTCTAAAGTGCCTCAACATGTCTTGAATGCAAGATGGTATTCAAGAAACAAGTAACTAGTTAAGGTAGATACTGTAGCTGTGCTGATTTTATCAGAAAATGTGAATACAAGATTGTCTTCCATTTTTCCAATAAACATTCCTTTCTAGAGATTTGGGTTCATTAAAAAGAAAGTTTCTCATTAAAACTTTATTCCGATATGACAACGATGGCAAACCTTTTTTTTGCTCTCGTGCCATAAGTGGAGGGAGTGCAGGGGGGGCGTGTGCGGGCGTGCCACACCCATAATGCAATGCACGACTCCCCCCAGTGCGCATGCATGCACTACAGGTGCTCCCCCCATTTTTTGCATGCTTTTTTCACCCTCCCCAGGCTCCAGAGGCTTTATAGGAGCCTGGGGAGGGTGAAAAGAGCCTCCCCCAGCACCCCCCGAAGCCCTCCGGAGGCTTCAGGGACCTTCAGGCTTCCCTGAAGCCACCGGAGCAGTCAAAATGTCCCTCTGAGCAAACCGGAAGTCACTTCGGGTTTGCTCGTAGGGTCGTTTTAAGTGCTCCAAAGGCTTCAGGGACCATCAGGAGGCTTCTCTAAAGCCTTCAGAGCAGTCAAAACGACCTTCCGAGCAAACCAGAAGTCCATCCCTGAAGTTCCGGTGTACCCGTAGGGCTGATTTTTTGCGCTCCAGAGGCTTCAGGGAAGCTCATGAAGCCTCTTGAGGGCCTCTGGGAGGGGTGCTCTTTTCACTCTCCCCAGGCTCCTATAAAGCCTCTGGAGCCTGGGGTGGGCGAAAAATGGCTTTAAAAAAAGGGTGAACTCAGCTGGCCAGCGCACACATGACAAATGGCTCCGTGTGCCACCTGTGCCATAGGTTCGCCATCACTGCCATATGAGATGCACAATTCAGACTTACCTTATGTGTTTCAGGACCTGACATTTTCAGAATGAAAATATGACACTTTAAATGTTACATCTGAAATATTTTCTCAAATGATTTAATGCATAATTATATATAAAGCTATAAAATATTGGAATAAAAGCATACTACCTCGATGTTTTGAAATTCTCTATACTGAATCCTATTGTAGGAACAATATCTTGAACTTGAGCCTGTGCAAAAGAAAATTTGAGTTAAAAACAAACTGTTATTTTAAAATTGGTAATATTTAAAATTGGTAATATATAGTCTCTCTTAATTGAAATAATAGTGTACTGAAGCAATAATAAAATATTATTGAAATATATAACAAGCAATTATATTAACACTTATAAAAGAATACATGTCCTTTCACATAAAAAAAGAATTATTTATCTTTTACGTTTGCCCCTCATTTTTATCCTGTATAATGGTAGCACTGCAGATTTTTTATTTGATTTTATTCAGTCCAATAGTATATAAACTACCTTACATTTAATTTTACTTCATTTATTAGTACACAACAATGTGATGTAGTTATTCCTATCTTATAATGTGAGTTGTTTGGGTGCTATATTAATTGTTGGCTATGTTTTGTATATGTCTGTGCTGTTTGTTCCCATCTTTTTTCATTAGTGTATATTGCTTTTTTATTGTGTTTTGTTATGAGCCGTCAACAATTGGTCTGAAGTTAGGAAATCAAATAAATAAATACATTTATTTCAAGCCTAAATATTTGCCTATAATGTCTGTAGCAGGTATTTATCAGGATTGACACCGTTGTTTATCTTATGATAATTCAATTACAACATTCACTTTTGAAAAAAAAAGTATGTAGTTGAGCAAAGAAGTAAAGATATAAGCAATGGATTTCTCTCACCCAGTTATCTAAATATTAGTCATCAATATTATGGATGTGGATCCAATATTAGAATAGAATATAATTCTTTATTGGCCAAGTGTGATTGGACACACAAGGAATTTGTCTTTGGTGCATATGCTCTCAGTGTACATAAAATAAAAGATACATGCATCATGAATCATAAGGCACAACACTTAAGGATAGTCATAGGGTACAATCAAATCATACTAGGAAACAATCAGTATAAATCGTAAGGATACACGCAACGAAGTTTCAGTCATGCAGTCATAAATGGGAGGAGATGGGTGATAGGAACAATGAGAAGATTAATAGTAATACAGACTTAGTAAATAGTTTGACAGTGTTGAGGGAATTATTTGTTTAGCAGAGTGATGGCGTTTGGGAAAAAACTGTTCTTGTGTTTAGTTGTTCTGGTATACAGTGCTCTATAGTGTCGTTTTGAGGGTAGGAGTTGAAACAATTTATGTCCCGGATGCGAGGGATCCGTAAATATGTCCACAGCTCTCTTTTAGTATACAAGTCCTCAATGGCAGGCAGGTTGGTCTAATTATCCTCTGAAGCCTCTGTCTGTCTTGTTGGGTTGCAGAACCAAACCAGACAGTTATAGAGATGCAGTTTTAATATACTCTTTCTGTGTTCCTCACAAAACTATAGGGATTAGTGTCTGTTCATGCAATCTAAGTATATTGTGGAATCTCCTGACTTTTGAGAAAGACATAGAGAATGAGTTATGCACCAATTAATAAAGATAAAAAAATTTATAATTTGTCAAGCATAAGTATTTCATCTTAACTAGAAGATGATTTACTGGTAAGAAACAATGAGATGTTTAGGAACCAGAGTAAATCTCAACTTTTTTTGCATAAACATAGTACACATATACTTTATGTTTTTGCTAAAATTGCTTTCTAACAAATCAATCATTATTTATAATGATATTAATCATCTGAATGGTTTCATGACTTAAATATTGTTTTACAGAGATATAATCAAACAAGTCATTGCCCATTTAAATCCAAAAAATATTATAGAGGTGACTTATTTATTATATTTTAAGCTACATAATAATAAAATGCTCTGGATTAATTACATAGAAGACTAAAAGCATAAAATTCCACAACAATCAGTATGTGAAGCTAAATATAAATTGTACAAATATAGTCAGTTTAACCCAGGGCATTACAATTCTTTAAAAAAATATAGGACTGAAATCCTAGATTGTCTTAGAAAATAAAACAATCTTGGAATGAAGTAAAATAAGATATTAATGTGGTATTAAATGTCCCTAAAAAGGATATCCATAATGGATACCAAGGCAAAAAAAGCTTACCAGCACATATTATTACATTACATATATACGTACGTACTCAATTTTCATTGGGACTTCATTCTACCCTATAATTATGGATAATAAAACTAGAGATAATGAGACCTGGAGTCTATAGGGATTAGGGAAGACCAATGACTGATTGGAGGTTTGGATGGTATATTGTGAAAAAAATCAGGGATGAATGACCTGGTGGGAAAGAAAAAAGCACTGCAAAGACTGGCAACTGTGCATGGGAAGAAAAGGTGGGAGCGCTGATGAGGGGTGAGAAGCAAGTAGTGAAAAGATATAGGAAAATATAGACTGAGCAGATTGGTAAAACTGGCAGCAGATTGCTGGGAAAATGTATTTGAGGACAAATGAATATACAAAATGGCAGACAGATAATCACATCTCCAAACACAAATATGCCAAAATCTTTGCTATTATTAGTTCTGGTCCATATATATCAATTGCAAATACATAAAACTGCCTATACCTGGTCCTCAACTTATAACAGTTCATTTAGTATCTGTTCAAAGTTGCAATGACATTGAAAAAATGATCATTGCAGCATCCCCATGGTTACAGATTTATATTCAGATGCTTGACAACTGGTTCATATTTATGACGGTTACGGTGTCCAGGGGTCATGTAATTATCTTCTGTGAGTTTCTGACAAGCAAATTCAATGGGGAAGATAGATTCACTTAACAACTGTGTTACTAATTTAACAACTCCAGTGATTTACTTAACAAATGTGGCAAGAAAAATCGTAATATGGGCAAAACCCATTTAACAAATTTCTTACCTAGGAACATAAATTCTGGGCTCTATTGTGGTTGTTAAGTCAATGACCACCTAAATAATTAGGGCTCCTATGTATATACAGTAAATACCATTAACTTGGTTTACTATGTAACCCTAGTTTAAAAGTTATAAAACTGCCAATGGTCCTCACAAATTTGACATACTGTATTAGTTCTTAATTGTTTCATTGTTAATATTGGTTATTTCTTTCTAAAATTATTTATTCATTAGATGATTAAAGTTTACAATCCAAAGAATATTTATTTTTTAAGTTCAGTGTTACAAATTTAAACATAATTCCTATTAGCATTTATTTTTTGAAAGATAAACTGTACAAGCATTCAACGTTTACTTACAATTTACTCCTTCTCAAATATATTCATTCTATCTATCTATCTATCTATCTATCTATCTATCTATCTATCTATCTATCTATCTATCTATCTATCTATCTACACACACACATACATTTTTTCTTGAAATTAAATATCGCAATGTATTAAACATCCCATGTTTCCACAAATATCTCTAG